TGCTGCTGCTCTTCATGGTGCCATCAAATTTCAATCTGTTGGTCAGCGAAAACTACACGAAATTCCTTCTCTGAATCCTCAACCCGTAACGGAAATTCTTCGCAAAAATTCTAATGATCCCAATTATCTTGAAACTTTTTCATTCGTCCGCTACATTCTGTCGAACGGTTTCGGAGTCTGCGATTGTGTTTGTTTGCGTTCGTCGGTAGGATAGTTATTCTGTATTGGCTCAATTTTCAGGGTCCCATTCACTTGGTTGTTCAGGGCATTCAATCGTTGTTTGTTTTTTGTGATATTTAATACAAACCAATCTCAACTGCATAATGGCTGCTGAAAAATTCGTCGGAAAATGGACATTCGTTTCGTCGGAGAATTTCGATGAATATATGAAGCAGTGTGGTAAGGCTTCATCACATTTATGTTTCACTTATAATTATGTCTAAATTGGCCAGAATCTTCCTTTGGGCATTTTGTAAAATTGAAATGCGCTCGAGTGTTCAGGTGTTGGATTGATAACTCGTAAAATGGCCGTCACATTGAAGCCAACGCTGACAATTTCTGTTGAAAACGGCAAATGGAAAATCGTTTCTGAATCGACGTTCAAGACGATTGTTGTGGAGTTTGAACTCGGCAAAGAATTCGAAGAAACCACTGGTGATGGAAGAAAGCTTATGGTGAGTCCTTTGATTATTCTGTAATTTTTTGATGGTAGTTTGATATAGTTCAGGTTCGTTTCATTTCTCTTGTATTCCCAAATGATTCATTAGTATCTTTATTTAAGGAGGGAAATGAAAATAGTTTACAAACAAAATCCGTGAGAATTTCATAAGGTTTCTTTTTAGTTCACTCAGAAGTTTGTTCCACTTTTGACTGATAATTAGAGATATGCTTTTTGAAAAAATTCAAATTCAGTTGTCATTTTGATGAAATTTCAGAGCGTATTCACGATGGAAGGTGACAAATTGATTCAAGAACAGAAGAAGATCAAGCCGGACGATAAAGATTCACACTTTGAGCGATTTATCGACGACAATGGCCATCTCGTTATCGTAAGTTGTTTGTTTGTTTTTTAGTTTATCCCGTAGAAATCTTTCAAGGAAAGCTTTCTGATTCCAGCAGTATTCGTATTGTGTTATCAATTCATTGATGTATCACTATTCCCAAAAAACTATGTCATTTTTTAACAATTCTGTGTCTTTAAAAAATTATGTATGTGTGCATGTTCGAATTTATTGATTTATCATAAGATTTTTTTGCCGAGTGTGTGCACACTTATTCTTTGCCGTGCCAATATTGTCAGTGAGAAATTTGCACTAATATTTGTTACTGTGGGCATTGTTCGTGTAATTTCGAATTCGTAATAGACCGACTGCATAGAAAAACGCTTATGTGTTTGTGTGTCTGTTTGCAAGAGTTGACACTTGGACTGTTGCAGTAAATTCAAATGTGCAGTCAATCGAAGATATTTTTGTTGTGTTTCATTGAGAGCACCACATTATACATTCGAATTTTTTTGTCATTCCTCCCTCTTTTCTTTTGCGTTCTTCGTTGGGGGTAAGGCAAATCGAACTGAAATGATTTTGGTTGTTCATATTGATGGTGATGTTGACGACAATCAGACAGAGTGTACTGCCTGCCTGAATATGGATTTATTTTATCATTACACAGCAAATGGCACTCGTCATTCATCGTTGAATGAATAGAAACACCAGTGCATCGTCAGCGTTCATTGAGTGTTTTTTTGTGAACAGGAAATCGTTATTGATATTACTAATGGTCGATAATTTTTTGTTCTTCC